TATTCTATTCTATTCTATTCTATTCTATTCTATTCTATTCTATTCTATTCTATTCTATTCTATTCTATTCTATTCTATTCTATTCTATTCTATTCTATTCTATTCTATTTCTATTCGCTTGTTTTCTGAAAGCTGTGGTCTTTCTCCCTGTGTTTCGACCTTCTGCTGACGATTGCCTGGGAAAGACAGCTCAATGCAATCTGTTCAGATCCAAGCATATATTGCTGCTGGAAGGAAGCCAAGTTCAATTCCCAGCATCAGGGACTTGGAAGAGGTCACACGCTGCAAATGTGCTGCGAGTGGGGGCTGAAGGAGGGAAGATGTGGACTTCGAGACCCTCTTCCCAGGAGCTTCCACTGACTACTGCTGTGCATAGATGGCAAACTGGGTTTATTTGATTAGAAGAGATATTCTTCCTTTGAAGCTGTTTTGGAGAGAAATAAATATACATTAACAATGCACTGCTACTATCCCCAAATGGCAAATTTAGACATCTTGTATTATTGAAGCTACGTCCTCTCTTATTGATTCTTAGGCACTGCATCTCCTTTATTCAAATGTTTATGAACATTTAAACCTTTATTTAGCAACAGTTAGGACATTCATAATAATTTATGAAATCTATACGCTGCCCCACTCCCAGTGATGGTGGGTGGATCTTTGTTGCTTCTGGGCAATGGAATAGCAACAACATTCTTCCTCAATGCTTATTTATTGCCTAAAGAGGTACTAGTCTTTCTCCTTTCTTTTCTTTTGAGATATACAGGTTGTTTCCTTTCCTCACACCCCTTTTCTTCTCTTAAACCACCCTTCCGTTCAAGTTTCTTCCAATTCCTGAAAGAGATCTTCCTTTGTGAGAAAAGCTTCTTCATCTTGATTTATTTTAAAACTTCATTCTCAGGGGGGTGATGTTGATGATGATTTTAGCTTGTTTTGTTGGTACAAGGTGGCAGAGGCTCCCTCTCTCCATTGCTCTGCAGCCTCCTTGCCTGCCCCCACCATCCTGATACAGATGGTATATTATCTCCTGATATCTTCCCTTGGGATGGAATGAAAGTGAAGGAAATCAGGGAGGCTATAGATAGTGAAGAGAGATTTCCCTGTTTTTTTCTATCATTCAGAACCCATCTTGGCTGGGCCAGGAGAGAGGTTATCATGTGTCCTTTTCCCTTGGAATTTAATTCAAGTGAAGGAGGCTACAGAAGAGAAAAAGGAGAGAGGGAATTGGGTAAGGACGCATAAGACCCTCAATGTCTCTCTTTCTCCTTCTCTCTTTAGGTGTGTTTTATCTCAACTCATACAACTATTGCACAAAGCGAAGGTGATAAGAGCAACCTCAAGGTTGAGCTTAACATTTACCTCTGTTTATGTATTTATGCATATTAGGTAGGTACATTATATATTACGTCTATTTATGTATTTTGCTCTGCAAGAAGGGGATCTGTTTCTGGATGGACCAGACCGCTGCCCCCAAACCTCTGGTGACTAGGTAGGGGTTGGAAGTCGATAGGGTCAACAAAGAAACATGCCTCATTCCCGCAATTTGAAACATTGCTTGCTTAAAATCATGAAGCTGCAACAGTCCCCTGATTCTTCAGGTAGATTCAGAAAGCTTCCGTTTGCTCCATTCTGTCCCGAGAGACCATGAATTGCTGGTGAACATCAGAGGAACATTTGCTTAATCAAGAATTCAAAGAGGGTAGGAAATACTTGTTTTTGTCAGGACCACCAAGGACATGACACCATTTCTGTATAACCTGCAAATCTCCAGAGCTGGAGGAAATGTAAGAGCCATTATAGGGATGAGATCTGAAAGGCCTTCCTCTATAGCTCCCTTTGATCAATATCTTTGCTTTTTCTTTTTCAGGAGATCCAAAAGCACCCTACAGTTCTTACCCTTTGGAGCAGCACAAAATTGCCTTGGGACACACCTAACGTCACAGGTCTTGGAGGATAATTCCATCAGCCCTGGTTCCCTAAGTTAAAATGGTTCGCTGATCAAACTAGAGCTGTAAATATTGTTGAAGCCTAAGACTTGACTGAGCCGTTCTGTCTCAGTCCTTTGTCCTTGCCAGCTTCTTTCCATTTTGCATGTTAAAAGAATGGGGAAGCATCATTTCTCCCCACAAACTCTTCACTGAGGTTGACATTTAACCAAAACAAAAAGCCACACAAAGATGCAACTGGGGAGAGAAAGGGCAGCTCTTCAAAAAGGCCACACCTGCATATTTTGCAACGGCGCTGGAATTTCATCTGATCCGTCACTGCAATGATTTAAACACCAGCATCTACATCAGGCTTGAGAAAGAACAAGACAGATGACGCTCGAAAGATGTTCACAAGATTGAATGAGGACTCTGTTAATATACTCAACCGTCACCTTGCGATAGCTTCCAAAAGCAGATTCACTTTGATCCAGAGAGTAACACAAACATTGCCAGACGTTTCCAATTATTACAACTTCAAGGACCTGAAAAGATGCCATGACCTGTCCTCCAGGACTCCAGAGTGCAGGACAAAAGTTACAGAGACACACATTCCAGTGGAATGTTAGGAAAAACTTCTGAACTGTAACAACAGTTGAACGGAGGACTCACCCATGACCTAGAGACACGGTGAGATTCCCTTCATTAGATGAGTTCACGCAGAAGCTGGATACTTTAATTTGCTTCCTCCACTAGGCAAGGGGTTGGACTCAGTAGCCTCAAGACAGGCAAAGAGCAATTTCTTAAAATATAGGCGTGGAACCTATCTGCATGCATAGTTCCTGAACAAAATAGAACGAGCCTTCATTCCAGTAAGGAGTCACTCCAAACCTCTTTGTTCACTACTGCCCAAGGACTTGATAATTTTGTCAATCAGATGCCACAAAATCGCCTTTCCATCCCAGCCAATATAATAATTATTCAAAGAAGGCATAGTAGGGGTGCCAAAACTGTTTGGTATGCTTGGCGCCATACCAAAAGACCTAGAAAAACACTTGGACACATTAGACAGAAACACAACTCATCAAGTTGCATTATTTGGAACACTGCATATATTATACTGCTATCCCTAACTATCCTAGGAAGGATCTGATAGTTAAAAGACCTGATCTGGTCCCCTGGGTGTAAATAGTAATAACAATGATACCACCAACCTCATTCTTGGGGCTGTGGCTCTATCATTCAGATGAGTTTCCCATTCAATTATCCACTTACCAGTCTCTTCATCACAGAGATGCTCACATGCGTCAGTAGTTCTCTGTCCACAAAGATCACGGACCCATGGCGATGTAGCATTGATTTGATAATACAGGGAGAGCTTTGCGGGGTTCAGCCAGTCAGATATGTCCAAGTAGCTGCCCTCACTCACAACAAAACTGCTTCCTACAACACAAAGCATTAGGAAAAGGTGAGGCAGAAAACAGCAGCTAGGTAGACTGCAAACCAGGAGACACCTTCACAAAGGATCATTGGCAGATCACAACAGCATAGGCTCAACGAGACCCACAGAGGATTTTTGAGAGGGTGACTAAGAGATAATGTGCAGAGCAACTGGCTGGTGAAAAGGACAGGACATTGAGAACTACGTGGAGATGTCACCGTGCATTTTAGATATATGGTAAAGCAAGTGTTCCATCCTCCTCCATAGGAAAGTTAAACCTTGTTAGGAAGACATCTTTGTATGCAAAAGGTTCTTGATTACATCTCAGAGATCTCCAGCTAGTACTGGAAACAATTTACCTCTGTAAATCTTGCACAGTTGCTGTAAAACGGAATAGAAAATTTGGTGGTATCCAGATGTTCTGGATTGCCCCTGCTAGGATCCCCCAAGGAGGACAGCCAATGTTGTGGGATTTGGGAATTGGCCTCCAAAGCATCTGGACATCATCACATTGGCCCTTCCAATATGGAGCTGTTATCAAGGTCCAAATAAAAGATCATCTTATGGTCTTGAACCAGCAGGAGTAGCCGAGCAGCTGGAAAGATGCAAGTTGAAGGAACCACCAGTTAGCAAACATTTATACTTACGCTAGTCCCTATGCAGGTGACAAATCTTAGCCAGATGGATATTTAATTAATACAATGCCTTAAAAATTGGGGGGGGGGGGTTGCCAAATGCCAAAGCTATACTCTATGCAGAGTTGACCATAGCGCTGGAAGAATTAATGGTACCTAGACAGAAAATCATGGAGTGGTTTGGTGATATTCCATGAGAAACCTGCTTCTGTAGCTACTTGTATATGTATGCGTGTGTGTGTGTGTATCTCTCTCTCTCTCTCATACACACACACACACACACACAGACATGGCAAAAATGTGTTTTCTCCCACAATGTGGGAATATGCATCCTCTAATTAGGCAAATGTATTTTCAGTTTCCTTATCTAATATCAGACACCCAGCATAATGTGGGGGATTTTACAAACGCCTGCATCCTCATTAACTCTGATCTTCAATTACACTGATTATAAGGCTGTTTTCAAATGCTGTGACAGAGATCAGAGGTAAAGTGAAGAGAGGAGAAAAAAGAAAAAATCTCCAGCCATCATGCCACAGTTTGAAAAGAAAATGCTAAAGAAACCCACTGAAATCCGGGAACAGATTTCTCACTCGAGAGGAGGGGGATCACTCTGAAAGTGCCTTGCACCAGCTCTTTGCCTAGCTGATGAATGGGGACCGGCTGGATTCCCAGCCTCATCATTAGTTTATTTCTTGAGAGGAGAACACTCTGTCCTTAACCTTGAAGTCATAGAACAAAGCTTAGTTTTGCTAGGGCTAATCTTGGAAGGAAAATGCATGTGAGAACAGTGAATACTTATAGCTGAGCTTGGAACTAGCGCTATGTTGAAATCTGGCCTCCAGCATGTAACCAGGTTTCTTCCGCATTCTTGGGGGAGAGATGGTGGTGGTTCAAACTTCTTTTGATAGCTTTACACATTTATTCAGGTGAGATGGTGGTGCATGCTGTTGTAGTTGTTTTCTGTTAGACTTCTCCCCAGCTTTTGGGCGTAAGAACAGCATATAAGTACAATTAAACTTCTCCTTCTCTTCTTCCAATACCATCCTTTCTCCACCTTCATGATGGTCATTATCATCATCATCATCATCATCATCATCATCATCATCATCATCATCATCATCCTTTCTCCGTCTCCTCCTCCTCCACCCTCCCCACCCCAACTTCTTGGGTTGTATCTGCTTCCTGATCTGAGAAAGCCTTTTGGCAGGATTTCCCTCCTGATGCATTTCTTGGAACGGAATTGAAATACAGGATGCTACAGAGTCAGCAGACTCAAAAACCCAACATCTCACCCACCAATACTCTTTCCTTTTTGGGGGAGGAGGGAATCCAAAGAACTGGTTTTCTTTCAAAATGAAGAAGACCAATGTGGAAAAAACTACAGAATGTTTTGGAATAACCACGACTTCCAAGGAGACCAGTGAGGGCTGAATTCTAAAGAGCTACTTTTTCAAATGCACTGGAGATCTCATAGCCTCCAGCACAACTGGTTCTTCGTTGTCTGAAGGTCCACAGGGACACTCTGATAGAGTTTGTTTTGTTATAGTATTTTCCCCTCCCCGTAGGTCCTCTCTCTCCAACCCAAATTTGTATCAAAGCAGAGTTGGCTGTAACAGCTTCAGAAGTTCAAATGCCTTATCCTCAGGTCTCCATCAAAGTTCAGCTAGTTTATTTTAAAGCTTCTACAAAGAGAAGTTTGAAGTTTTTGACATTTCAGAAAAATATGTATTTTATAGAACAAAAAAGAGATAAAACAGACAAAGACTTTGTTCTTTTCCCTTGTTAAATATTGTTAAGAGGCAAAAGACACAGCCAAAAATACTCAGCTACTTTTCTTTCCATTCTTTTTTTTTTCTTTTCTTCCCACCTCTTACACACGTACACCTTCTATTTTCTCTCTCTTTCACTCAGATTATGTTTTCCTTTCCTTCTTTAATGCATTAAAAAATTAAAAAGTTAAATTACAGGGCAATTTCTAAGTGGATGTTCTAGCAATCCACACATTAGAAGTTGTGATAAACCAAAACAGTAAAGAAGGAAAGCCATACAACTGAATGAAAGTGGTAACATCAAAGATTCAATGTTCATAAAATGTTCAGTTCGGTAGGATATACTCAATTTCTCAAAGGCCAAGCAGACCTTTCTTCAGAAAGAATTTCCAAAACAGGCTACCGTCAAAGAAAATTACTCAGAGTTGGTTGACAGTTGGAGTGGTGCTTAAGCCTAGGAAACCAAAGATAAAATTAACTAAGTAAAAGCTCTTCCAGAAGACAGCTGTCAAGACCTTGGAACTTTATCTTAATTATAAAATATTTCTCATCTCATGTGAGAGAAAGTCATTGTTTAGATAGTTCAACACTGTTTAGAATAAGTGAGAATATCTTGAATCAGGCCCAGAAATGCCACTTTCCTACTGACAGTGAAATACCATCAAGATCAATGACCTTACCACTCTGTTTTGAACTACTTAAACATTTCTGAGTAGTTCTTAACTGTAATGCCAAGTCTCACATGCTAGAAAAGCAGTGAATTTAATCAGTTTGTTCAAGTAAGTCAGTTGCATATCCCGTGGTTTGAAGGTGGCCTGATTCAATGAGCCATAGTGAAAATTTAGTGTAGAATGCTGGGTTGAAGTGACTTTCACTGCAGTGAACCAGAAATGGAAATGGCCTTGCTGTTATTAAAACTTCTCATGAATTCATTCCAGTGTACATAAGAATAGGAAACCCGTGACGTTTCAGATGTTGCTAAATTAAATCTTTTAGCATTTTCTCCCCATTCTGCAGTCAGTTAGGATAAGCTTTGAGATTAACAATAACGTAGTGGTTAATCCACAATTTATACCATGTACATCCGCATTTTGCATGCTTTTCACAACGTTTTAGCAATCTGATGCTGGTCTGGTTCAGCTGTGAGGCAGAATAAGGAACTGTTAAGCAGAGTGCAACTTACACGTGTGTAAACACGTGGCGAAACAAAGATAAGATCAGATAACCTCTAAGGACTGATGATAGAGAAAGAGGGAGATTGAGTTTTTACTTTTTTTTTTTAATTCCAGCAACTTGTTTAATTAAAAACAAAGTCAGAAGCTGTGCCAGACCCAGCCTTTGTCTGCAAAGATCAAGAGGAAAATTAGAGGAAAACTGGTAATAGCTGTATCCAATTCTGTGAGCATCACAGCGGAGATAGCCGTGAGGGAAAGGAGATAAACAATCTTCAGATGAAACAATTAAAGTTCAATCACATGCCAATCAGGGACGTGGCATTTGGGAGCTAAATGAAGTCACGGCTTATTTAGCATGCCTCAATCCAGGGACTGGGTATGAAACCAATGAGAGGGGCTTCAATATCTATACCTGCTTGGGTTTTAAGACCCAGAAATTCCAGCACAAATAGATACAGGTAGATGCATGCTTATACCAATACATACTGTACGTTGTTATCAGACCTTCTCTTTAACAAATCCAACTTTCAGTAGCCAAGCAAGCAGAGTATGCAAACATGAACCACTTGACAGGGAAAAATCTTTCCACCTTATAGTCCAGCAACATCAGGCACAAGTTTCCATAGTGTTCTCTTGCTAACTGAACATTTCACAGTCACACATGATGCATGTAAGGCCTCCAGACAATTATAATCCCTCATTACAGCAAGCTGGGCTTGCTTCAATTTCTCACTAGCGAAAATGACTTAAAAATAGTATGAAATCCCCCCTCCCCATGTTGTTCCAAAACTGGATTGAGGAACACAAGAATCTATCTTCGTTTATGGCCAATTCTGAATCCATTTAAACCAAGACTTTGACTAATAACATGTTCCCAGACCTTGAGGCTTAAGATTTTTTAGTTCTGGGAGGTTGAAATGGGAAAGTTCTGTATACATATCTCCTACCGCTGACCTATGGCCTCCCTCCTGAAGATTGTAATATTTTATCTTCAGCGGTTGATGATGCAGATTTTTTTTTCATTGCGGATACTATCTCCATTTGTTTGTCTTCCATTCTTGTGAACAAACAAGACTGTTTTTGTTTTGGTCTTAAATATACTTCCCCAAATTTAGTCTTCTTCCCACCACCCCACATCATCATCTTCTGTGTTTCTATACAGCATATATAGGATCAGTTCTATGGTAAATGCATTAAAAACAAAATTCAGTACCATGGAGAGGTCCTAGTAAGGATAGATGCAAACCTAGACCAGCGGCTACAGGCAACCTCAGTGAAGCCCCACAAAAACTAGTGGATCCCTACACCAGGTTGGTTTGTCTATCAGTAACAAGTGAGCTTCAGTCCCAAGGGAAGACACTGAAATGTCTATTCTGGATCTTTTTCAGATTGGAAAGTGTGGGCAGCTATGGGGGTTGAG